TATTAAATAATATGTGATTTGTCTTGATGATAATTTGAAAGAGTAATTTATCTTTTTTTTTTCAAAGGTAGATTTGTCTTTGCCTTTCTACTTGAAGGACAAATTTAGAGGGCAAATTTAGAGGTTCTGCCTTCTTATGGTACTTTATTAAAAGGCATAATTTTAGGGTATTTTTTTACCTAATTTTTTGCAATACAAATTAATATATGAGAAAAGTGTTTTGTAAGTCGCCTTCTCAAATTTTTATAGAAGATCTATTTAAATTTTTTTTAATTAATATTTTAAAAAACTAATCACTAGATTATAAATTTTATTTATATAAAATATGTATGTCAATTTTCATATTAATTTAATATTTACAAACCTTTTATCAAATAAATTTTATTTACTGCATATATTTAACGGTACTAAATTTGGTGCAATTATCAAATTAGTTAGGCCATATTATTGTCAATAGTGTTGATGACTGAATTAATTAGAAACTTAATTAATTTGCTTGCATATATACCTTATCTGCGACTTTGCTTGACACCTGCTCCGGCCATGGCAAAGCTCAAACTAGCATATCCTTTGCCTTGGCCTAGTAATGTTTGTTGGATATCTAAGTTATGCTTGTATGAAGCAATTCTGCCGTTATTATCCAGGCCTAGGTGTTTGGCTGAAACCAGTGAAGCAAACATGGTTATAGTATAGTTACAAAAAGTTGGCAATAATCAAGTTAGAAAAGGTTTTGAAGAACAAGTTCATGAACTAATTAGTTTTAAAAAATATTAATTAAAATAAGATGTTTTTGGAGATATCCTCCACAATGATACGTTCTACTAAACATTATAAAAGGATCTTACCAATATAATCAGGCACTAGAAGACCATCCGAGAATCTTCCAGGGGCAACTTGCTGGAGGTCAAGTGATTTCCCATATGGTTGGCCTTTAGATGGAAGACAAAGTTCTTCATTACCGTAGCCAACATCAAAGAATGAGTCGCCGAAAACGATCAAGAGGGTGGACTTTTTAGATTCGGTGCAGATTCCTCCGTGAACTGCGGAATTGAAAGGGTTCGCGGTGGCAAACAGAGTTAAGAAAAGGAAAGGAATTGAATAGCCTAACATTACTCCCATGACTGAGATCTAATTCAAAGCTTCACTTCTTTGTGGTTTGGACGCACTTCTCCCAACCGTCTTTTATAATGCTCACAGATGCCCTTCAACGCCTTTGTAACACGTTTTTCTTATTTTATTTTATTTTATTTT